AGCTCCTGGGCTGAGGCACCATTTCAGGATAGGGCCAGGCCGTGTTCACTTCACAACTGGCTGTACTCTTCACTTTCCCAGCTAGGCCGCCTTTTCCCCAGAAACCTCCTTTCCCCGTCTGGGTCCCTTCGATGTCTCTACCATTACAGTGTGAGCTGCTTGAAGCCAGGCACTGGGGGGCTTTTTTCCTTCATCTGTATTCCTACTACTTAGTATAGTTCTAGCACGTAGTATTTGACATACTCTGTACCTTTCACTAAGGGTAATATAGCTTACAGCTAAGACCTGGAGTTAGGAAGACCTGGGACCACCCAAATCTTGCTTCTGTGACCAGGGGAAAGTTACTTGGACCCTCTGAGCCTCGGAGAGCCTCATGCTGCTTATTTGTAAAATGTGCATAATAAGATCTATATTACTTACTTTTCACCTAGATTAAGACAGCTAGGTGGTGCCATAGTGCACAGAGCTCTGGACTTGGAGTTAGGAAGACCCTGAGTTCAAATCTAGCATCAGACACTGACTATTTGTGTAACCTTGGGCAAGTCATTTAATTTCTGTCTGCCTTAGTTTTCTCAGCTGTAAAATGGGGATAATAATAGCACCTACCTCCAGGATTGCGGTGAGGCTGAAATGAGATATTTGGAAAGGCTTTATAAACCTTAAAGTGTTATAGAAATTCTTCTTCTTTGTCTTCTTCTCCTACTTCTTCTTCTCCCCCCCTCCCCTTTCTCCCCCCCTCCTCCCCTCCCCCTCCCCTCCCCCACCCCTTTCTTCCCCTCCCCCTTCCCCTTCTCCTCCTCCTGCTCCTCCTTCTCTGAAATGAGATAATACTTGTATACTTGAAAGGGCTTTGCAAACCCACAATGCTTCTTGTTGTTACTCCAGGGTTGCCATGAGGTGAAATGAGATCCTAGATGGGAAGTGCTTTACCAACTTGAAGGCACTGGGGAACTGTGAGCTTAGCATGACCCATTTTTTAGGTGCCTCTTAATAAGGTCTCCCGTATTTAGGAATCCAAATGGATATGGTTTGTGTTTCGAGGTAAGGTGGGTGGAATTTTGGTCTTTTTCTGTTGTATTATAAAAGTAATGAAAGTAAAAATACTTTTTAAAAGCACAAGTGTTAGCTGGCAGTTGAAATGGGCAAAGCTCATTGGCTCAGAGACCTGGGGCGCTGTGAAACAAAGTGAGTTTTGAACCCAAGTTAACTGGCGGCCAAGGCATCATTTCCCTGCCAAACTCTCAGTCTGGGCTGGATTTGTTCACACTCCTCACAACAGGACAGCAGCGACAAGGTGTTTGTGGGGCAGATCTCTCACCGTCAGCTCGAGGGGACCTTGAAGGAGGCAGTGTCCGTTTTCATCCAAGGAAGAGACGTCTTTGCTCACAGGGAATTCATTTCAATATGATTTATTTTTTGACCCTATGCTTCTGTAGGAGTCAGGAGATCCTTAGTAAAGAACCTCTCTTTCCCATCGCAGATCCACAAGAGTTGGGTACCATAGTCTGAGCACATTGTGTGGAGGCACTGAGGTGTCGGAAGATTTGGTCAGAGTCACAGAGCTCTTCTGGGCCAGAGGTAGGACCCCCTCATCCTTACTCTGAAGCTGGCCCTGTACTACTCTGCCTCCATATTTAATCAATCCATAAGAATTATTGAGTGCCTACTATATGCCAGGCACTGTGCTGATAAAAATGAAATGGTCCTTGTTCTCAGGGAGCTTATATTGTACTTCATTTTTTGTCCAGACCTGTGATTTCGTTAGGGTAGATAGCTCCTCCCACTAATGCAGATCAAAAATCATTCTAAAAGTTTTGGGATTTTTTGAGGCAATCAGGGTTAAGTGACTTGCCCAGGGTCACACAGCTGGTAAGTGTCTGAGGCCAAGTCAGAATCTTAGTAGTCTATAGCACCAAGAAGTTAAAGGGCTTATCTACAGCCACACAGCAAGTAGGCTCAGAGGTAGGATTTGAACCTAGCTCTTCCTGTCTGAAAAGCCAGCTTACTCTCCCCTGGGCCACAATAACTCTCCTTCCTTTGATTAGTGGGAAAAATGAATCCCTCAAAGTGGCCAAATTATTCGAATCTGAACTGAATATTTCCATTGAGCTGGAACCAATGATCATATTGTACATATAATTACACTTTGGATGGTGCAAATTTGGATAAGGTGACATTTTTTACACTAATGGGGATCTTGCTGTAGTAGTCTGGTAATTGCCACGAGCTTACTCTGGGGAGAATTGTGTTTAAGGAGCCCATGCTGGCTTCTCTTGATTAGTTCTTTCCTTTCTCGGGACTCACACATTATCCTTTAATAATTCATGCCAGGAGTCATGGTATTTGGAACTAGAAGGGACCTTGGATATCATTTGTTACAATCTGTTTTACAGGTGAGAAAACTGAGGCCCAGAGAGGTGAAGAAGGCTGTCCAGGATTATGCAGGCAGCAGATGGGAGACATGGGTGCTGAGCCGGAGCTTTGGAATGAAGCCTGGTAGTCTATGCTTCAGCGCTTCTCTCTAATGAATTCACCAGCCTGGAGTTTGAGGGATTTAGAACTAGATGGTTATTAAGGGCATAATTGGTGAACCCTATCGTCTCATCTCCAGGATCAAATCCAAAACCCTCTATTTGGTGTTCAAAACCCCTCACAAACTCCCTGTGCCAATCTCCTGACACCCTCCCAGCCCTGCTTCCCTGGGCCACTGGCCTCCCAGCTGGTTCACAGACAAGTTCTGTTTCAGCTCCAGGCATTTTCACACTCTGTCCTCCATGCCTGGAACTCCTTCTTTATTTCCACCTCCTGGATTCCCCGGTTTCCTCCAAGTCCCAGATAACATCCTACCTTCTACAGGAAACCTTTCCAATCCCTCTCAATTCTAGTGCCTTCCTTCTATTAATTATTTCCTATTTATCCCCTATATAGATTGACAGCAAATAAGTTGTTTGCATGTTATCATCTCCCCCATTAGACTGTGAGCTCTTTGAGGGCAGGGGCCATCTTTGGCTTGTCTTTGTATCCCTGGCATTTATCACAGTGCCTGGCACATAGCTGTGTGACCCTGGGCAAGTCATTTAACCCTGTTTGCCTCAGTTTCTTCATCTGTAAAATGAGCTAGAGAAGGTAATGGCAAACCACTCCAGGATCTTGGTCAAGAAGACCCCAAATGGGGTCATGGAGAGTTGGACATGTATGAAATGACTGAACAATAACAAAATCACTGATTGCATTTACACAGCACTTTAAAGGTTTGCAAAGTACTCTAGGTGCAGAGCTCTATCCACTGAGCCACCCAGCTGCCACCTAGGGCTAAGAGATTGGAGGTTTTCCTTTCCTCTCCTCTCCTCTCCTCTCCCCTCCCTCCCTCCCCTCCCCTCCCCTCCCTCCCTCCTCCCTCCTCCCTCCTCCTCCCCCCTCCCCTCCCCTCCTCCCCTCCCCTCCCCCTCCCCTCCCCCTCCCCTCCCCTCCCCTCCCCCTCCCCTCCCCCCTCCCCCCTCCCCTCCCCTCCCCTCCCTCCCCTCTCCCCTCCCCCTCCCCCCTCCCCTCCCCTCCCTCCCCTCTCCCCTCCCCTCCCCTCTCCCCTCCCCCTCCCCCCCCCTCCCCCCCCCCCCCCCCCCCTCCCCTCCCCCCTCCCTCCCCTCCTCCCTCCTCTCCTCTCCTCTCCTCTCCTCTCTTTTTGTGTACAATAGGCTATGTAATAATATGCCATTTCTAATTCCATGAATATATTGGGAAGTGATCTGAGAGAGTTCAATCCATTAGTGAGGGCTATAAGCTAGGTATATTGTTAGGCAGTCATTTTTCTGTCATGTCTGACTCTTCGTGAGCACATTTGTAGTTTTCTTGGCCAAGATACTGGAATGGTTTGCCATTTCCTTCTCTAGCTCATTTTATAGATGACTAAGGCAAACAGGATGAAGTGACTTGCCCAGGGTCACACAGCTAGTATCTGAAGCTAGATTTTTTTTTTTAATTTTTAAGCAATTGGGGTTAAGTGACCTGCCCAGGGTCACACAGCTAGTAAGTGTCAAGTGTTTGGTCTGAGGCCGGATTTCAACTCAGGTCTTCCTGACTTCAGGGTTGGTGCTCTATCCACTGTGCCACCTAGCTGCCCCCTGAGGCTAGATTTGAAGTCACAAAGATGAGTCTTCTTGACTTCAGGCCTGGCTCCATCCACTGCGCCACTGAACTGCCCATAAGCTAGGTATAGATAACAGATTTCATATTTTTTAATTTTCTGCAAGATTTCATTTCTCGGATTAAATTCAGACTCAGCAAGTGATGAAGTTAATTGAAGATACATTAGGAGTGTTCCTGCAGCATTGTGGGCTTGGGTTAGGGGAACAGCTAGGGGGCTTGCAGCCTGAGCATCCTATGGTAGAACATGGAGACACTTAAGGTGCTTAGGAAAAAACTCTGGCAGAGAGAAAACCTGACAAGGCCTGGGCTGGTGGCTCGCATGCTCATCACCAGGTAGGCAATTCAAATAGCAAATTCAGCTGATGAAATTCCCGTGCTGGATAATTAACACGGAGACACACTGTCTTTCCATAAATTTAAGGAAAACAGTCCTGGAATCACACAAAGGGCCCAATATGGGGCCGGGATCACACAAGGAAAGCAGGAATGACACTATGTCTGGCATGTCGTAGAAGAGAGCTTTGTTCCAGTATGGGTGGGTTCAGCGGCTACCGAGGACTCTTCCAACAAGGAGCTTTTGAGGTTCATAGGATTTAGAGTGAGGAAGGACCTTAGAAATCATTTAGATTAGGGATTCTCAACTCCACAACAATACCAGATCCACAATGAATACCCAAAGCAAACAGCTAAGAAACCTATTTATCCAAGTCGGTAGTAAAACAGAAGTCAGACAGAGTCAAAGTACATTCTATGACTTCTATTATATATAATATAATAACATTATACTTATACATAATTATATATTATATATAATTGTGTGTAATTATAATTGTGTTATATAATTATATAATAAATATCTACTGTATAACCATCACATATAACTTCTGTTATGTATATGTATATGTATACATACATGTCATACATCAGACAACACAGATTGAAGGAACTCTTCATTGGGAGCAAGGTAAGAGTTCAGCCAAGAGAGAGTCCCAGATCTCACCCAAAGAGAAGCTCCCTGAAGTCTCTAGAGCAACAAGCTGTGACTAGAAACATGATCAAGGTTCTCCATGTTAGTTTCTTCCCAGAATCTTTTTCTCCCTTTCTTGGCGGGAAGAGAGGTTAGAGTTGTGACTCTTCTCTCTCCAAGCTGGAAGGCAGAAGACCACAAAGAGACTGAAGAGGTGGGGTCTTTCCTCCCTCCCTTTCTTGACAGCCCCAGTTCTGTTCCTTGTGTGGGCAGAGGGCACTGATTGCCACTAACGAGGAGTGAGTTCCATACCAATGGGCTTGGGTGACATATGCATTTACAAATATTCTTCTGAGAAGGGGTCCAGAGGCTTCACTGCATGACTCAAGAGATCAATGAGAGGAGAAAGGGTGACAACTCTCGGTCCCAATCAACTTTTACCTTACTAAGGAGGAAACTGAGTCTGATGAAGATTAAAGACCGGCTGAGCTTCACAAAGGTGGCAACAGTTGGGATTCCGACCCAAGCCCCCCAACGGCCAATCTGGAGGCACCCCCACTTCCATTTCCTTAGTATGTATTTCCTAAAACGTGCCAGTGATGTTGCTGTCAAACACTTTTGACGCATGGCATTATCAGGCATACAAACCAGGGTCAGGCTTTTTTGACAGTCTCAAAAGCATTTTGCCTGTGACTACAATGGAAGCTTTCAGAGGGCTGGAGAATTGGATGAGGTGGTTTCACAGCATCCCCCCCCCCCCCGGCCCTGGATAAATTCTTCTTGGCACAGTGGCTTTGCCATTCTTGGTGGCTCTTTCAACAAAGCAATTACATATCAAAAGTGTATTTCCCCCCAGAATCAGCCACCCCCTCAGCCTTTTCTATTTCGTGCATTGGAAGCAGGAGACCTGGAAAGTACTTTTAAGAGTGCTGGGCTTTGGAATAGGATTTTCAGTGTGAAGAGGAAAAAGAAGCAGCTGTACTCAGCCGCCAACAATACTCCTTCTGCACAACCAGGGAAAAATCCAGCCTCGGAAAAATTGTGAGGGAGGCATGTGTTTTGTAGCGCCTGATGTAACGGACTGATGAATCATGAGCATTGCTTCTGAGGCAAGCGGTGGAGGGGAAAGATTGTTGTGTTGGGAATGCAGAGAGCGGCACTGGAATGAGATAACCTGGCTTCTCTGCTACATACAGACTGGACCACCTTGGCCAAATCATTTGCCTTGACCCTTATTGGAATTTTGGGAATCAGGAAAAGAAGCATGGGAGACTTTTGATGGGTGGCAAAGCCTTCCTGTGACACCTAGACAGGTAGTCTGCTCTGGTGACCTTGGCTTCGTGACTCAGGTGAACCTTCCTCTGCCCAGAGACTCACAGCACCCTTTGTTTCCTGACCCAGTTTCAGAGGACAGATTAGGAACTGACATTTACATAGTGATTTCACCTTCTCAGGGTGCTTGGCATAACTTATCTCACGTAAGACTCAGAACAAGCACGTCAGGTGGGTACTACAGGCTTTTCCTTATTCCTAGCCACGATTTCTTTGGGAATCCCAGGGGAGGAAAATCCCTCTATCAAAGGGGATAAACAACTTGCTTATCTATTAAAATCTTAGTTGTTTGGAGCATTGAAATGGTGAGTGACTGGCCCAGGGCCACTTGACCCCGAGGCTAGCTTCTTAGTCACTCCCCCCCCACTCCCCCTCTATTATTACCCCATTTACAGATATCCACATAACAGTAAGGTGTTATGGGCTGCAGCACTTATAATTTGTCTCACAGGCTTGGATCTGTACCCACAAAGACACATTCACGCTTTTCCTAGCTTATAAATGATTCAATAATGATAATAATCATAAACACATGCACATAAATGTGATTACATATGATTATACAATCTGAAAAGCAAAGGCTATCAACAGAAAGATAGAAAGATAAAGAAGAAGAAATACATCACCAGTCCGAGGAAGCACCAAGTCCTGAACGTCTGGCTGGGGGCGTCCTGTATCACAGCCGTCAGGGTCTCGCTTGGGAAAGTCCCTATGGCAGAGCGTCCTCTCCGAGGGAGACTCCCAAAGTCAGTTTCCCAGGAAAGACCCTTTTTATCATCCCTACACAAAGGAGGCAGGGAGCCAAGGAATAGGTGATTAATCCTAAGGACCTGAGAGTTTTGGCCCAAACTCTCCGTCCTCAGGAACAATCTTTGTTATGTCAAAAAATGTCTTGGATCAATACCCAGGAACCGGCCAAGTTCCTGGATGTTTACCTCAAGACTTGTTTTTTAAGGAATAGTTCCCCAAGGTGGGTCTGGGTTGGAACAAATCCCAGAACAATACATTAGGGAAGTTCCTTGTCCCTTGGCTTCAGCTGTGGATAGGGAAGATCTTATACATTAACCCTTCAGTCTGCTGTAGCACCTTGCTGCCTCATATCAGGACCGTAGGGCAGGTGTGAGTATTACTTATGGACAAACAGCCTAAGATTACCTGGGACCTGTACTGAGAGTGTGGACAGAAAGCAGTATCTCTAAGAAATGATAAATTGGACAGTTTCAGGTGAAAGTTAGATGAGCTCTACGACCTGATGCAGAGTGAAGTGAGGAGGACAATTTGTACCTTGACAAGGATGCTGAAGAGAAAAACAAACTTTGCAAACCTTTAGCACTCTGGCCAATGCAATGACAAAAACTGAGTCTGCAAGGCTGAGGATGAAATGTGCCAGAGGTGAGGGACTTAAAACAAAGAGACAGACGGGGAAGAGAGAGACAGAGAGACAGAAATAGAGGCAGAGAGAGAGACACAGAGAAATAGAGACAGAGACAGAGAGAGAGGGAGAGGGAGTAGAGGGAGAGAAGAGAGAGAATGAGGGAGGAGGGAGAAAGGAGAGGGAGAGAGACAGAGATAGAGAGTGGAGAGGGAGGGAGGGAGGAGGAAGAGAGGAGGAAGAGGAGGAGGAGGAGGAGGAGAGAGAGACAGAGAGAGATTCATGTTTATGATGAGGGTTTTACTTTTCATTTTTGTTTTGTTTTGTTTCATCTAATTGGACAGGAGTAAAAGGATGTCAGATTATAAATGCATGTAAAGATAAATAAATTTATTTTTTTATAATAACAATTCCTTCCCTCAAGGAGTTTTCAGCCTATGGGCAAAACTACATATATACATACAAATATATAAAAAATAAATACAAAGTTATTTTGAAGGGGCGAGTGCTAACAAATAGAGGAATAAGAAAACATCTCTTGGAGGCAACTGGGGGATATAGTAGATAGAATACTGAGCCTCGAGTCAGGAAGACCTAAGTTCACATCTAGTTGCAAACATGACTAATTATATAACCATGGGTAAGTCACTCTCAGCCTTAGTTTTCTCATCTGTCAAATGGGGATAATAATAGCTAGTCATCACCATCCTTATAGTCACTCAGGTTCCCAACATCAGTGTCATCTTTAATTTCTCATATTCTTATGTTCAATCAAACTGGTCTACATATGACCTTGGCATTCCATTTCCTTCCTTTTCAATCAATCCATAAACATGTACTAAGTGCCTACTATAACAGCTAGGTAGCAAAGTAGATAGAGCACAGGGTCCGAGTTAAAAATGTGGCCTCAGATACTTACTAGCTGTGTGACTCTGGACAAGTCATTTAGCCCAGTTTGTCTAAGTTTTCTTATCTGTAAAATGAGCTGGAGAAGGAAATGGCAAACCACTCCAGTATCTTTGCCAAGAAAACCCCAAATGGGGTCATGAAGAGTCAGAAACAACTGGACCACAACGATAACAACATGTGTCAGGCACTACGCTAAGCACTGCGGATACAAATATGAAAAAGAAATTTTGTCCCTTCTGCCCTCAAGGAGCTTACAATCTAATGGAAGTGACAGCATGCAAAAGAAAGCTGAAAAAGGAGGGGGGACATGGGATAAAGAAGGGGGGATGGAGGGATGGTGGAGAAATCAAAGTCCAAAATGAGCGCAGCTTTCTATCCCAAGATCCCCAAGGTATTTCAGGACCCAGCTCATGGACCATTGCTTATAGGAAGCCCCTTTCTAGAATGCCCCGCTGTTCCTTCCCTCTCCTCAAAGTATCTTGTATTTAGAGGGACTTCTGGACAGCATGGTGTAGGAGTGAGATCTAGTCCTGAAGGCAGGAAGATGAGTTCAAATCCCTATTCTGACATGTACTGCCTTTGTAATTCTGGGCAAGTCTCTCAGGGCCCTGGGCAACTCTAAATTCAGAAAAAGTACCAACCTGCATGGTAGACAGGTTTTCCTCATCTGGGAGGTCGGTGAAGTCCCAGACTCTCTCTTTATTCCTTCTCTGTGTGTCTCTCCTGGGGTCCAATATATACATTCTCCTTGAGGACTGAGACTTTCCTTTCTTTCCCAGGAAATAAAGTTCTTCTCACCAAAAGCCTTGGCCTGGTGAAACGAGTCAACATCAGATACTGATATCATTCTGTCAACGGAAATTACATTAAAGAATAGGCATTAACATCTGCTTTGCTGCTATATCCTATAGGACCTTTCCATGTGACTTACAGCTGAATTCTTCTCTCTCTGTCTTTCTCCCTCCCTCTCTCTCTGTCTCCTCTTTCTATATATTCTACATATATATATATATATATATTTGTATACATATACATACACATATTGTATATAGTTTTCCCCATTAACACGTGAGCTCCTTGAGAGCAGAGATTGTCTTCTGTTTGTATTCCTAGGGCTTAGCACCTAGTAATTGCTTAATAATCCCTTCCTTCTTTCATTCTTTCTCATCCACATACAAATTGCCAGACCTCATCATTTCTTTCTCTACAATATCTCTCCTCTCTGCCTTCATAGCCATCACAGGTTCAAGCCCTCCTGTCTAACCTGGACTAACAGACTAGCAACCTTCTAATTAGCTTCCTTTCCCCAAATTTCTTCCCATTCTAGTTCCTTCTCCACATAATCACCCAAATGATTTTCCCATATCATCATACCCGGTTACACCCCCTTCCCCAGCACAGTGGGAATTATTAACCTCGGGATCAAATATGTCCAGTCCTTTATCCTTTAATTATCTTTATAGACTGGTCTCTTCTCATCTTTCCTCTGGTCTACTGAGCTCCATGAATTCTGTGACCCAGCTGGGCACTGACCTACCTGTTGTTCTTTGAACACTTGCCTCGTAGGGTTTTAGGAGGATTAAATTGGATTTTTTTTGGGGGGTCTGAATCCCTGGGAGGATGTTCCCTCTAGCAGCTGAATCAAGCAACTGTTCTTCTTCTAGTCCAGAGATTCCCAAAGTAGGTGATACCACCCCGGGGGGGGGGGTGCTGGAAAGATCCAGAGAGGCAGTAGTAGCCTTGGGTGCAACTAGAGACATTGAATAAAAATAAGGGGGCCATGGAAGCATAAGAAACCAAGAGAAGAAAATTCTGAAAAACTGTACATGTTTCATCTGTTGTGTAACAGGGTTAAAGTTGTAGTGATTACATTATTTTCCAAATAAACACACAATATGCAAGTTATAATTGATCAGTGGTCAAGTCTGCTGACAGGTCTTAACAAGCAAGCGTTGGCAGTCTAACATGCATCAGCAGGAATATATTCATGTAATGACTTGTTTACAATATGATACTATATGGTTACGTGATGCAATATTGTGTCATCAAAATTTCAGTGCAGGAAAAACCCCACAAATTTACAATAAATTATTAAGTTTAAGATGTGTCATTTAAAACATTATATTTTTTGAAATGATGCAAATTTTAAAAAACCATTAAAGGGTTAAAGAAAGTAAATTTCCAGGGGGGGGCCACTGAGTAATTTTTTTTTAAAGGGGCTGGCAGGGCCAAATAAGTTTGGGAACCTCAGTTCTAATTCTAGGAAGTTGCCTGGGGCACTAAGAGGTTAATTGACTTTCCTTGGCTGAGCCCAGAAAAGAAAAGGAAAATGACAGGTGACATCCTTGGCTGATTCTCTGCCCTTTCAATGAACACACTGGGTGGCAGAAGTGAGGTGGGGGATGCTGGTCAACCTTCCAGGACCTCTGGCCAGTAAGCATCAAAGGCAGCATTTGGACCCTGATCTTCCCAGCTCCAAAGCAGGCTCTTGGAGTTAGGTTCAGCAAATATATGTATAATGGATGAAAAGGGCAGAAATATAGGAGCTATTACTCAATTACTTTAACATACGGATAGGGACTGGGACAGCTAGGTGGTCCAGTAGATAGAATCAGGAAGCTCTGAGTTCAACTCCAGCCTGAGACACTAGCTGTGTGACCCTGAACAAATCACTTCACTCTGTTGGCCTCAGGCTCCTCACCTGTAAAGTGAGCTGGAGAAGGAAATGGCAAACCTCTTCAGTATCTCTGCCAAGAGAACTCCAGATGGGGTCTGGAAGAGTTGGCCCGGACTGAACAACTTGTAAATATTATCTCACGGAATCCTTACCACAACCCTCCAGGTAGGTGCAATTATTATCCTCATTTTTGCAGCGGAGGAAATGGAGGCATAGTGACATGTCCAGGGTTCTATACAACTAGTGAGTATCCAAGACTGGATTTGAACTCAGGTCTTCCTGACTCCAAGTCCCAGTGTTATTCACATCTTTGGATGGATCGCTGCATTCTCCTGAAGAGTATTATTAGGTGGTTCCACGTCACTACTGACGGAAGCTTCTCACTGGTAGGGTATTAATAAGCATTTAAGCGCCTACTGTATGCCAGCCCCTGTCCCCAAGCAGCAGCAGCAGCACAAAAACAAAACCCCAAATCAAAAGACAGCCCCATCCTCAGGGAGCCCACAGTCTCTTGGCGAAGATACTGTGCAAACCGCTCTGTGCAAACAACATATGACAGGATGAACTGGAGATAGCACCATAGACAAGACACTAAATTGAGGGGGATCGAGGAGATGGGCTTTTCTCCGGTCCATTCCACTAGCAATGTAAGCGTTTCCCGCTCGCTCCTGCGGTCCCAGAGACCCACCAGTCGGCCGCCTTCACCGCTGTCACGGGACGCTCCTCGGGCAGCTCGGCTCCCGGTGTTAGGGGCAGGGCCTGAGTCTGCCCTTGCTCGCTTACTCTCCCTTACTCTGATCTCCTCCTATTACGCATGCGCGACCCCCCCTCCCCCACCCCGCGGGTGCGGCGTCCTTAGCAACGCGAGCGCCTGCGCAAACTCGCCAGGAGCCGGGCGCGAGGCAGAGGCGGGGCGCGCGAGCGGGAGCCCAGTGCGCCTGCGCTGGGAGCCAACGGTCTTGCTGTCGCTGTGGGTCTCGGGTAAGAGAGGCGCAAACATGGAGCCGCCGGCCGGGTGTCCGGGCCCGGGAGCGGGAGAGCGGGCTCAGGGGGAGAAGGAGGAGGCGGCGGCGGCGGCGGCGGAGGAGGAGCAGCCGGGTGAGCGGCGGCGGCCTGAGGAGGAGGAGCAGGCGGGGCCGCCCGGGGGGGAGCCAGGGGTGAGTAGTGGTGCCGGCACTGCCGCGGCCCCCCGGGGGGCATGGCCTCGAGGACGACCCCATTCTGCGGCTGTGGGGTGGGGTGAGATGGGGGGAGCCAGCGCCGGGGCGGGACCCTTCCCCTGCCTCGTGCCTCCGGTCTTCTGCTTGGAGACCCCCGGACGTGGGGCTGGGGGTGGGGCTTGTTTATAAAGGGCCGCCCAGCCAGTCCTTGCGCCCCCTCCCCAAGGGTCTCCTTTGTGGGCGTGCATTTAGACGCGTGTGCCGGAGGGCAGGGTCCCCCGGCAGTCCCCTCGCGCTCTTGCCGGACCCCCCGCCGAGGCTCCGCAGGGGAGGGGTTGTCTTTGGTGCGGACCCCTGGGGGGAGCCTCCTCTGTCCCCCGAGGGGGGCCCAAGGTTGTGAGACTTCACCGTTTTCAGGGCGGGGTCTGTGCCCGGCCACACTGGCCACGTACGTTCAGGGAGGCTTCGGAGGCGTCCCCAGAGGTCACACCTGCGGGTCGGTCCGTCAGTCCAGGCTCTGCCGGCCTGGGTCCATCCGGGCCGGGAGGCGCTGGCCGGCTCGCTCTCTTTGGGGTTTCAGCCCCTCCGCGTGTCATTTTGGGGTCAGTCCTTTCCTTTCTAAAGATGGTTCTTGGCCGCTCCAGCAGCAGCCCCTAGGACCGGCCCGGGCTTGTCTTCCCAGCCTGAGGAGTGGTCCTGGCCCCTTCACGCTCGGTGCCTTTAGCCCCGATTGCCCAGGGCTGTCTGACGGAAATCCCGTCGGTTTTCTTTTTAAAACTGACTTGGAGAAGGTGCCAAGCTGCGGACTGCTGTTGCGGGGCAATGTTTCCTTCCTAGGTCTCATAAACAAAGACTTGCCTTCTCCTGTAGTCCAGGGCCGTACCTCACGGCGTCACGGGTGATCTTTTCAGCAGCCAAGGAATGGTTCAGGTTGCAGAGTTGTTCTGTGAGTTTTCCTGTTGGCGTTTTGAGAAATGGGCGCAGTTTTTAGACCCTTTTGAACATGTTCTCTTAAAAAGTTTATTTTGTAGGAAAACCTCCCTACAGCATTTTCATTCATGTAGTTGTGTTCATGTTGTCTGTCATCCCGTGGAAAGTGAGCTTGCTGAGAGCTCCAGCTGTTTTGGTTTGATTTGGCGTCCTGGGTACCCTGCGCTCTGCCTGGGGCTCAGAAGAGTTAATGGATGTGGTAAGATGTGGCTCGTTTAAGAAGACCAAATAATGGAAGCCAGATGTGCCTTTATTTCATTCAGTTAAGAGGCGGGGTGGGGGAGAGGAAAGAAGGTCAGAGGTGGTCAGACAAGACTAGCATATGACTGTGGACCCAGTGACTAGACTTCATTCAGTTTCCCCATTTATTAATGGAGAAGCTACCTCTGTGTTTTTGGGAAGATCAAATGAGATTTTATTTTTTTATATATATATATATATATATATATATATATATATACATATATATATATATATATATTTTAAAAAAGGCTTTAATCACTTTGTAAAAAGAAATGGTCAGCTCTCATTCCATCACCAGGCACTTATTAAGCACCTAATGTGTGTGCCAGGCACTAGGAACATAAAGACAACCTTGAAACATTTGGTAAGTATTAATTAAGCTCCTACTTTGTGCCAGTACTGTGCTAAACACTGAGGGTACGAAGAAAGGCAAAAGATTCTTCCTGCTGTCAGGGATCTCAGTCATGCAATCTGTAGACAGGATGAGTTGGAGATAATTACAGAAGAAAGATTAAGGAGGGAGGACTGGGTGAGGCTTCCTGTGGAAAGTGGGATTTTAGCAGGGACCTAGAGGAAGCCAGGAGGCAGAGAGGAGGAGGGAGAGAATTCTAGGCATAGGGGCCAACCAAGGAAAATGCCTGGAGTCTGGAGATGAGGCCAGAGTCACTGGGTTGTAGAGTTGTGACTGAGAAGAATGCCGAACAGAAGATATCATTTTTGATCTTGGGGTGATAGGGAACCCCTGGAGTTTGTTGAAGATGGGGTGACGTGGTCAGATCTATATGTTAGGAAGATTAATTTGGTAACCGAGTGGAGGATGGACTGGAGTGGGAAACCCTTGAGGTAGGAATACCAGCCAACTAATACAGTACTCCAGGTGTGAGAGTTTGAGGGCCTGGGCCGTGTTGGTGGCAGTGTCAGAGGACAGAAGGGGCCATAGGCAAGAGATGCTGTGAAGGTAAAACTGACAAGCCTTGGCAGAAGGTTGAATACATGGGAGGCAGGGATGGTGGTGAGGAGTCAAGGATGCTGGCTAAAGAGAGCATGGTTTACCTGTCAGGTGTATGGATAAGGGAAAAATTTAGGACCTAGGCACTTATCCTTGATAGTAATAGGGAAGTTTGAAAGGGAAGGGGCCTTGAAAGGGAAAGATGATGGGTTCTGTTTTGGACATGTTGAGTTTCAGATGTCTACTGGACATCCAGTTCTAGATGTCTGAAAGGCAGCTGAAAATTCGAGACTGGAGGTCAGCAGAGAGATTGAGACAGGAAAGGTAGATTGGAGAATTATCAGCAAGATGGTAATGAAATCCGTGGAAGCTGATGAGATCTTCAAGTACGATAGAGATAGAGCAAGAAGAGAAGAGGGGCCAGGCCAGGGCCCTGGGGGATACCTGTGGTTAGAGAGCATGATCTGGAGGAAGAGCAGGAGTGGTCAGAGAGTAGGGGGAGAACCAAGAGAGAGAAATCCTAGAGAGAAGGGAGCATCAAGGAGGAGAGAGTGATTCACAGTTTGCAATGCTGCGCACAGGTCAAGAGGAATGAGGACTGAGAAAAAGCCATGGATTTGGCAGCTGAGAGGTCCCTGGAGAGCAGTGCTGGTGGTGTGATGAGGTCGGAAACAGTTCCGCTCCCAAGGAGCTTACATACTGTCATTGTAATCCTGATGAGTTCACTGTCAGCAGTTGCACCACACTTGCTTTGGAGTCAGAGAACCTTGGCTTCATGGTCTGACTCTGACACTTCCAGTCTCCTGGCCTTCATTTCTCTGTCTTAGGGTTCTCATCCGTTCAGTAAGGGTGTTGGGCTAGATGGCCTCTATTGCTCCTTTAAATCTGTGATCTGTTCCCCCTGCCCCACCTGCCACGTAGAGCTTTATTGGGTGTGCTCACTGGTGTGTCCAGTGTCGTGTGGGTATGCTCAGAGCATAGAACAGGCTTCTTCTGGTGTTTAGGGAGCTTGCAGTCTGGTGGGGACATCAGACAATTAAGTAACGGTGTAAGGACGTGTGTAATTAGATGCAAAATGCTCTCGATTACAAGAGATTCCTGCTGGCCGACTGGGGACTGAGAAAATCATAAATGGACATTTTCCATGTTGTCTTGTATTTTTATTTTTTTTGTAAAACATTTCCTAGTTTGACCCCTCTGTTCTAGATATTTAGAGTGGGGGGAGTAAGGATTGTGGGAGTAGGAGAGGCTTGTATAATTGGAGGATCATGGGCCTGGTCACAGGGCTGGAGGAGGGTGGGGAGCAGGAGGGAAAAGAAGTGGAAGTAGAGGCTTGGAGGTGAAAGTCAGCATGGTGGACTCCAGGAACTGTCAAGAGGCTGGCTTCTTTGGAGCAGTAGGTTCATGTTGGAAAGTGGCAGGAAATAGCAGGAGGCACTTAGGTAGTGCAGTGGATAGAAACCTGGGCCTGGGATCAGGAAGACCTGAGTTCACACATGACCTCAAGACACTTGGCTGTGTGACCTTGGGCAAGTCACTTGACCTTTGCGTGAATTTCCTCATCTGTAAAATGGGGATGATAATAGCACATACCTTCCAGTGGTTGTGAGGATCAAATGAGGCAATATTTGTAAGGTGCTTTGCAGACCTTAAAGTTTCATATAAACGCTGGCTGTGATTGTTATTGTTGCTGTTATTATTGTAGGTTGAGACCATGAAGGGATTTGGAAATAAGTCCAGGGAGCTTGGACTTTGTCCTAAGGACGATGAAAGTCCTTCTGAAGACATTTGAGAAGGGGGCTGAGGCGCTTGTCAAAGGAGGTCGAATCCGGCACAGACGGGGTTTTTCTGGGGGAGGTGAGTGGGTAGGGTGCAGTCTCTTGAAGAAGACGTTAAGTTGGGGCAGCTAGGTGGCACAGTGGATAGAGCACTGGCCCTGGATTCAGGAGGACCTGAGTTCAAATTCGGCCTCAGACACATAACACTTACTAGCTGTGTGACCCTGGGCAAGTCACTTAACCCCCTTTGCCCAACCAAAAAAAAAAAAAGACATTAAGTTGGAGAGGAGAGGCTGGAGGTAGGCTCTTCTATGCCAACATTGACCCCTAATCTGCCTTCTTCACTAAATGTCCCTGACCAGAAATTCCCCATCTGCTTACTGTGTGTGCACGAGCGCCTGTCTAGTTAGCTTTTTGAGAGTAAGGATGCTGTCTCTTTTCTTCTGCATTTCAGCCTCACCCCAGGGTGGAAGGAGGAGATGCATTGCGGGTGGCTAGGCAGGCAGCTTGTCGCTTTCGCTGTATATATTTAATGGGAATTTTTCTTGAATAAAATGTGAGGAACTATGATTTAACAATACTAATGATTATTCCTTTGGTTGGACATTTAACACCAAAGTACAAGATTATATTGAAGTTTTGTAATATGCTGTTTGCTTTGAATAATTAAAACATAGCTGGTTGTTATTCCTCACACATATTCTGCAGCTTCCAGTTATCTTTAAGTGATTTCGGTGGAAATGGTTATTCATGTTTAGCAAATGATAGTCCATAGATGTCTTTTGAGCCTGTGGAGTCTCTTTCAGCTCTGAAGCTATGATGCTATCATAGATTTATTGATGTTGACAGTTGTATCTTCAATGGGTGGAAAAACACGTGCCTCCAAATTAAAAAGGATTATTTGTAGTAAAAGGAAGTATCCTAATTTGAGACATGGCTTTTTTTTTAAGTATTGTTTTTCAAAGAATCTAGTTTTCTTAGACATTTAGTACCTCAGTTTTCCTAACACATTTTCTTCTGTCTTTTTCACTTTCTAT